AAATAAATCAGATGTGGATCCTTATATTGGATTTGTGCTTCAAGCTGCCCATGTTGGCTTTCTCAAGCCAACATCAAAGTTTGATCACAAACTATAGCCTATTGTATACGTTCTCATAATGTTGAGAGAAAATATTCTTAGAACAACATTCTCTGAACGTCCTTACACTGCAAAAAAATTATTTTTGTCTTGTGTTCTAGTATAAATATCTAAATATTCTTGAATCAAGATGCATTTACTTGACAAATAAAATGATTTAAGATATTAAGTCTTGTTTTCTAAAAAAAACCACACAAAAAAAATCAAAATATTGTTAGTTTTTGCTTAAAAGAAGCAAAAATATCTACCAATGCGGTAAGAAAATTAATCTTAATTCAAAGTCTAAACAAGATTATTTTTCTTGCCCCATTGGCAGATATTTTTGCTTGTTTTAAGGAAAAACTAACAACATTTGTATATTTTTTTACAGAAAACAAGACATAATATCATAAATCATTTTACTTGTACAGTAAATTCATCTTGATTCAAGAATGTTTAGATATTTTTACTAGAAAACAAGACAAAAACACTAAGAAGTGTACGACGTTATTTGTACTTGATGAACATTCTAATAAACGTTTTGTAACAATTTAAGTTCTAACCATAACCAGGAACCTGGACATTTTAACATTCTTAGATTATTAAAAACAAACATTCAGTTAATTGTATATTTTGGGTGAGAATAAAGTTACTAGAACACTGCAAGAAACATTCTGTAACCTTTAAATAATGTTATAATATCATTACAAGAAAACGAGACATTTCGAAACAATGTTTTCATAAGCTAAATGTGTTCGCTGTGGCTTCAGTTCTGCTGCATGATGATTCTGTGACACTCAGTTAATCTTTGGTTCCGTTGTGTTTGTTGATGCTTGGTTTGTGAGCAGATCTATGGATCTATATCCATTTATGGCTCTCCGCGCGACGTGGCAGCGAACGTGAGGCCTACAGAGAGCGTTTGCTGATCGAACGCCACGTGCGTCTCTGTTGCACAATTCATAAATATGTTGAGATGTCAGATATGGCAGAAGCTCATTCCAGCGGTCGCAGCAGCTCCGTGATCTCTGTAATTTGGATGCCGTGAGAACAAAGACAGGTTTGGCTTCGGGACGGCTGCTTTTACGAAATCACACGTGCCAGAAACTCAAGAGCCAGGGTCGCGGGCAAATAAAGCTTACTGACATGACATAATGATAAAATATTGTATTCTAAATAATGTATTCCGATAACAGCAGCAGGCTAAAGGACGAAGTGAGAAACATGAAGTAGAACAGATTTAATTTTTTTAACTAATGATAAGCGTGGAAGAGTGCGAGCACAGTGCTGTCAATCATTCACACACAGCCAATCAGAAATGAGTTCATTTGCATAGAACATTTAAAGAGACAGCAGCAAAAAAATTTCCTGTCTAGTGGAGTGAAAACCGGATGTGAAACACTTATGAAACACAAAAACTAACATAAAAATACAGTCATGGTAATCAAAATAAAATAAAGCGAGCCTTCAGATCAGTGTTTCTCAAGCAGATCTTCAAGGTGACTTTAATAATCATTTCAAATAATTTAAAACAGGGCAAATCAAACCAAACTTAAAAATAAATAAAAAATCAAGATATTTCTTATTTTAATTCCAAAACCCTACTTTTTCTTATTCTATTCCAAAAACAGACAGAGCTGCGAGATGTAAACTCAGAGAAAAACAGATTTGCAAAATAAAAACTCAGAATTGCAAGAAAAATCTCAGAATAATCTCAAAATTACTACTTATTGTCGCTGATTTATAAGAAAAAAAAGTCAGAATTGTGATGTAAAAAGTTGCAATTACCTTTTTACTTTTTAACAGCATGTGATTCAGCTGTTGCGGAAAACACATGAATGACCTGCAATACAGTCTGAATCAGAAGACAGCGTTATTTACAGTGTGACAACATGCCCCATATGTAACTCCATTAGAAACATTTAGTGCAGTGTTTAGCAAATGAACCAAGTTGTTGTTTTAATTCATTTACTGATTTATGATTATTGTTTTTGCTTTGGTTCTATATAATTATGTCTTGTGAGGTGTATGTTTGTGAAATTTTGTGTGAAATTTTTGTACGTTCATCTTGGCCAGGACTCCCTGGAAGAAGAGATTTCTTTTATCTCAGTGGGGCTAAAATAAAAGATAAATAAATAAATATTCGAGCTTGTTACTAATCGAGAACAAACCCGACCTGAGAAACACTGCAGTGAACTGTGTGACAACATGCCCCGCTCTCCCGCTCTCAGCAGCACGGCATCATGGGACGAGAGACCTGAAACGGAAGTGCATTGTTATAATCAAATGACATGAGCCTTTAAATCAGCCTCGAGATGAGACGAATCAAACAAACAAATCAAGATATTCCTCAACAACTGTTTTATGTCTTTGAAGAACCACATGAGGAAGATTCCTTTCAAAAGTGTTGTTTCTAGACCTGGAAGAGACACGGAAATGAATTCAATCTTAAATATAATGACATGGGCATTTTTAAAACAAATACACATTTGATAGTCTCTAGTAAAAATGATATATTATATGGAAAAAGCCCATATAAGAATGGAAAAGTCATGGTGGCATCAAATGTTGACTTTAAATGATGGTTAACTAAATGCTATGTTGACAGTTTCCCATGAGCCTTCCACACAGGTTATGAATATTAATATCTCACCGTCACAGAATCTGGCTCTTCAGTGTGCATCTCTCAGCTCTTTCTGGTCCAGCAGGTGAAAACATCTCTCTCCTCAATTACAAAATAAATGTAACGATTGCAAAAAAGGTTACATCTGAATATTTTCACATGCATACAGATTTAATTGCATTCTTTCATAAATTGCATCAACTGCTCTAAAATATGAGACACTAATGTTTCAGGAGTTTAGGACACATGCTTATTCAATAACTGATTTATGTTCTATTTGGGTTTATGTGCATGCTTTATGTTTTTAAGATTAACTGTTAGATGCCAGTGTTTCCAGTCATAACTACACAAAGATTTGATTTAAAAAACAGCATCATAGCTATTATGATTTTAAATCTGTATTTAACCTCAGAGCGATCTCATCTGGTTTTGCGGTGGCTGTGCTTTAAAATTAATTTTTTATAATCTTAATTCAAGTGATGAAGGATTGTGAAAGTCTGACAGTAATCAGTGTTGAGTTAATGTTACACAGTTGAAAACATTCTTTAGAATTGTATAAAAGTATCAAATGTAATCAGCTACATTACTTTAAGTAATTGTTACTTGTTGCATTTTAAATAACTTGTAACTTGTGAGTCTGTAACCTGTTACATTTCCAAAGGAACGTTCCACAAACACAAACACACACTCCACTTTATATTATAACCGTGCTTCACTATCAGCTCTAGTCTAGCACTACTAGTGATGGTTAACCTCTACTAACGAGAGCTGTCCGCTTTCATCATTTATTCTCTCAGCTCAAACTCAAACTCATCTGTGATTTAATAAAGACACGTGCAGATGACTTCATGTTTTTAATCAGTACATAAATACATTTTCCATCATATACTGCGTGACATCTTTAAAATCATCTTAGAAAATATCAAAAATATGCTTCTTGTATTTGAAGGCTTTCTTTACAAAAACATAGAAGGTCCTTAACAAACTTCTGATTCTCTGGCAGCGTTGGACTGAATGTGTCTTTCGCGGTGGATTGTTAGTAGTTTTTGGTTTCTTTTCTTTAAAGGGTGATGTGATCAAATGCTCTGGCTCCGCTGTGAAGAACACCTCTTTCTGTCAGGAACGGCGAGCGTGATGAGATGAAGATGAGCTGCAGGGAACAGAGAAAGCATCAGCATCACAGACAGAAGAAGAAGAAGATGTGAATGAGATGCTGCTGTGTAGGACACGCTCATGAGAATATTGATTTCTGTCCTCCTACAGATCTCTGAAAACACACGCCAAAATGTGTTTATGTTTACAGACGCTGACGTCTTTCCTGAAACCTGAGAATATCACGTCTGTCCTTCTCTTCATAATGATTCAAACGATTCTCTTGCTTAGTGTTTGTGTCTTGTGTTCTAGTATAAATATCTAAACATTCTTGAATCAAGATGCATTTACTGTACAAGTGAAATTATTTAAGATATCAAGTCTTGTTTTCTGTAAAAAAAAAAAAAAAAATTGTTAGTTTTTGCTTAAAACAAGTAAAATATCTGCTAATGAGGCAAGAAAAATAATCTTGTTTAGCTTTTGAATTAAGATTATTTTTCTTGCCCCATTAGCAGATATTTTACTTGTTTTAAGATGATTTTAAATCTGTATTTAACCTCAGAGCGATCTCATCTGGTTTTGCGGTGGCTGTGCTTTAAAATTAATTTTTTATAATCTTAATTCAAGTGATGAAGGATTGTGAAAGTCTGACAGTAATCAGTGTTGAGTTAATGTTACACAGTTGAAAACATTCTTTAGAATTGTATAAAAGTATCAAATGTAATCAGCTACATTACTTTAAGTAATTGTTACTTGTTGCATTTTAAATAACTTGTAACTTGTGAGTCTGTAACCTGTTACATTTCCAAAGGAACGTTCCACAAACACAAACACACACTCCACTTTATATTATAACCGTGCTTCACTATCAGCTCTAGTCTAGCACTACTAGTGATGGTTAACCTCTACTAACGAGAGCTGTCCGCTTTCATCATTTATTCTCTCAGCTCAAACTCAAACTCATCTGTGATTTAATAAAGACACGTGCAGATGACTTCATGTTTTTAATCAGTACATAAATACATTTTCCATCATATACTGCGTGACATCTTTAAAATCATCTTAGAAAATATCAAAAATATGCTTCTTGTATTTGAAGGCTTTCTTTACAAAAACATAGAAGGTCCTTAACAAACTTCTGATTCTCTGGCAGCGTTGGACTGAATGTGTCTTTCGCGGTGGATTGTTAGTAGTTTTTGGTTTCTTTTCTTTAAAGGGTGATGTGATCAAATGCTCTGGCTCCGCTGTGAAGAACACCTCTTTCTGTCAGGAACGGCGAGCGTGATGAGATGAAGATGAGCTGCAGGGAACAGAGAAAGCATCAGCATCACAGACAGAAGAAGAAGAAGATGTGAATGAGATGCTGCTGTGTAGGACACGCTCATGAGAATATTGATTTCTGTCCTCCTACAGATCTTTGAAAACACACGCCGAAATGTGTTTATGTTTACAGACGCTGACGTCTTTCCTGAAACCTGAGAATTTTTTAGAAAACAAGACTTAATATCTCAAATAATTGTATTTGTACAGTAAATGCATCTTGATTCAAGAATGTTTAGATATTTATACTAGAACACAAGACACAAACACTGAGCAAGAGAATCATTTTTTGCAGTGTGCTATCATAGCTTTTGAATTAGAATTTTTCACATTTTGTTCATTTTAATTTTACTTAAAATTTTAGTAATTTTGTCGTTTTTAAAAATTTTGTATTAGTTTTTTATTTGCATATATAGTTTGAGTTATTTTAGTATTTTAACTGAAACTAAAATAAAAATGAGGTATAGCGCCTTTGAAACTAGCTGAAATAAAAAGTATATTATTTTAAGTAATTAATTGTTTTAACTATTTTTACTTTTTACTGTTTTTTTTTTTCATTTTGTTGCCTGGAAAAACTAGCGGAAATAATAATTTATATTTTTTCACGTCAAGTAATTATTATTATTTTTTAATTGTGTTGCCTTGGAAACTAGCTGAAATATAATGTATATTATTTTAAATATTTTTATTTGAAGTAATGATTTTTTTTATTGTTTTTTTAACTGTTTTCTTATTGTATTGTCTGTGAAACTGGCTGAAATAAAACTTATAATTTATTTCAGTAAATGTTTTTATTTCAAGTAATTGCTAAAATTTTTGTTACAGTTTTAGTTGACGATAATAACCCTGTATTAGACATGTTCAACCTGCCGCTGTGAAACACTGATCAATGCTGGATTCATTGAATTAATTGCATATAACAGATGGCAAATTATCCGTCACTCCTGTACTCACACAGCAGCGTTAACTAGTTTACTCTAATTCTATTGAAGTGTCAGAAAAACAAAGTATAGTGTTAGAAATTCATAATCTTTAAAAAAAAAAAAAACTAAATAAAAAACGTAGATTTATGATGTTAATAACTGTGGAAAAGCGTCACAGTCTGTGAAAAGCGTCCACTGAGAATAAGATGAGAAATGTGTGTAATATTGAGAGGATCGAGCCAACAACAGCTGGATTTTTATGATGCTTTTAACAACCTGATGGGCAAAATGAACTGGAGGTCTGAAGAGCGTCTCCTCGGGGTAGATCTTGACGCTGGAGGCCGTGGTGGTGCTGCTGGAGCTACTGTTGAGCGTGTCTGTCTTGGAGCTGTCCGTCAAATCCTCCTCCAGACGGAGATCAGACGTCAGGCAGTCGATCTCCTCAACCACCTGAGAAGAGTCCGACGTGAGACGAGATGAACGTGCATAAGAAAAAAATGATTAGAACACTAGTATTTTCACCAGCTAAAAAATGTTGGCAATGTCTCCGAGACGCTTCAAGAAACCTACCTGCAAAGCTACAGTACTGTGAAAAGTTTGATGCTAGCAACATGCTAATCATGTTAACAACATGCTAGTAACACCCTAGCAACCGCCATGGGTACCCTAGCAACCGCATAGCAACACCCTAGCAACCGCCCTGGGTACCCTAGCAACGGCCTAGGTACCCTAGCAACCGCATAGCAACACCTTAGCAACCACCCTGGGTAGCCTAGCAACCACATAGCAGCACCCTGGCAACTGCCCCAGGTACCCTAGCAACCGCATAGGAACACCTTAGCAACCACCCTGGGTAGCCTAGCAAACGCATAGCAGCACGATAGCAACCACCCCGGGCACCCTAGCAACCACATAGCAACACCCTAGCAACCACCCTGGGTACCCTAGCAACCTCATAGCAACACCTTAGCAACCACCCCAGGTACCCTAGCAACCGCACAGCAACACCCTAGCAACCGACCCGGGTAGCTTAGCAACCGCATAGCTACACCCTAGCAACCGCCCGGGTACCCTACAACCGCCTTAGCAACCACCCTGGGTACCCTAGCAACCGCATAGCATCTTATCTATCTATCTATCTATCTATCTATCTATCTATCACTTGTGTAAAAGGACCCAGGTACCTTAGCAACCACATAGCTACACCCTAGCAACCGCCCCGGGTACCCTAGCAACCGCCTTAGCATCTTATCTATCTATCTATCTATCTATCTATCACTTGTGTAAAAATTATGTAAAATGAGGATGCTGTCAATAATAATGTCATAAATAGATTTTCTTTATCAATTAGCTTCTATGAACTAAATTAAATCAATATTTGGTGTGAGCATCTTTGTGTTTAAAGCAGCTTTTGCCCTCGGTGCACTTGAGCAGAGTTTCTCTGTAGCTTTGCAGGAGGTTTCTAGAAGCGTCAGTTCTTCTGGATTGTGTCTCAGTTTGTTCTGTTTCTTCATGTGACTCCAGACAGACTGATGATGATCAGATCTCAAATCTCACTGCATTGTTACAATTAATGGCCAAATGAATGATAAACCGATATTTCCTACTGACACACTACAGCAAACGATAGAAATAACTGACTTAAACACATTTTTAGCTGCTGATAATACTAGTGTTCTAATGATTTTGGCCACCACTGTATATATACTGCGATATAACTGGATGCGTTTTATGTAGTGTTCGACCTATATATTGCCAAGGTCGATATATCGGCCGATATTTGGCATTTTTCAAATATCGGTATCGGCCGATAAGTTTTTCTGTTTGGCCGATGTGTTCAAGGTGGAACTTTTATTTTGAGGATTACAAGAATCAAGTAGTTGTCATCTAAAGTACAAGTATGCTTATTTTACACATTTATCATTTTAAAATTATTTCAAATTTCTTAAATATTAATTAGAATAAATAAAAATGATATCGGCCACCATGCTCTAAGATATCGGCTGTCAAAAAAACAATATCGGTCGACCACTAGTTTTATGATCTCGTGTTCTGATGTTCATACCATTGTTTCAAAGCAGCTTTACAGAAAACCATGATGCTAATGTTTATAATATCTTCATGCCTTAGAGTCGCATTTATCAGATTAGAGCTGTGCAATAATATAGTTACATTTTGCGGTGATATAAACAATAACGCAGATGAGATTTGCGATATATCACTTTACGAGAGTGTGCTGTATGTTCCAAACTAACAATAGTTTTTCTAACGTTCCCATTAAGTTATTTCTGAACGTTCAAACGTGCATTTTTTAAATTGTTTTTATAAACGTTTTTTTTCTTGGTTATATGAACGTTAAGGGAACATTCCGGTTTATCGTTTCGCAATCATTATGGGAACGTTACTGTTTAATGTTCTTTGAATATTCTGAAACAAGTAGCAACATTTAAAAAACGTCCAACTAAAACATTTCAGTTTTAGAACTGTGTATAAGTAACGTTTTTGTGGTAACATTTTGAGAACATTATTAAAGACCAGATAACTATGAACAAACGTTCTGTAAACGTTGCTGGTTCATAACTTGTGTTTCCATAAATACTGTAGCATCATCATGATGAACAGATACTGTACGTGATGAAGAGCTGCAAACATTTCAGACTCGATCATAATCCTGAACAAACAATACAAATCCATAACTCCAATCTACAGCTACGATAAGTATACGCAGTTTCCCAGCTAACAATATGATCTGCTAATGTTCTCGTTAAACATTATTTCTGAACGTTCAAAAACATCGTTGAACGTTTTTTTCCTTGGTTATGCAAACATTAAGGGAACATTTCAGTTTATCATTTTGCAATCGTTATGGGAACGTTACTTTTGAATGTTCTCTGAAACAAGTAGCAACATTTAAAAAAATGTTAGAACGATGTGTAACATTTCTGTGCGATGCATTTTGAGAACATGCACCTTTGAACAAATGTTCTATTAATGTTACTGGGAGAACAATTGTTCATAACTTTAAGAGAACCTTGCCAGAACATTCTGAGAACGTTTTACCCACACACCCAGCTAACAGTGAATGCTCTTCTGAGTTATGAACCAGTAATGTTCGTTCAAAGTAACTTTAATAATGTTCACAGAAATGTTATTTATACGTTGTTCGCGGAATGTTTATTTTCCTTAAACGGCTTAGGTTGGATGTTTGCATAATGTTTTATTTTTTTTAAATGTTACTTGTTTCAGAACGTTCCGAGAACATTCAAAAGTAACATTCCCATAATGTTTGGAAATGATCAAATGTAAGAAAGCACACGTACGTCTGCAAGAGGTCTGTTAAAGATCGCTTCATCTGGAAAGCATCTGCTGTGTACAAACATCTGACACACGTCTGTAAGACGACAGTTTTAAATCATCTTAAAGACATCTAATAAACGTCTGTTTGACATCTGATAGCAGACGAGAACGTTCCGAGAACATTCAAAAGTAACATTCCCATAATGTTTGGAAATGATCAAATGTAAGAAAGCACACGTACGTCTGCAAGAGGTCTGTTAAAGATCGCTTCATCTGGAAAGCATCTGCTGTGTACAAACATCTGACACACGTCTGTAAGACGTCAGTTTTAAATCATCTTAAAGACATCTAATAAACGTCTGTTTGACATCTGATAGCAGACATCCTATAGATGTATTGCAGATGAGCAAACACTCTAAAAAACACGTCTTGCAGATGTAATGCAGACGTCTCCGTGATGCTATCAACGCTCATATAACCAAGAAAAAACATTTTGAAAAACCTTTAAGAGAACATTCCGAAATTTGTATAACTTAATGGGAACGTTCTTTGGTTCATACAGTACACTTTTGTAAAGAATCTCATCTGATTGTTTATATAATCGCAAAATGTAACTCTTTTAATGCACAGCTCTAATCTGATAAATGCGACTATAATGCATGAAGATATTAAGATATTATTAACATTAACATGGTTTTCTGTAAAGCTGCTTTGAAACAATGTTGCGAACAGCGGAACACGAGATCATAAAACGCATCCTGACTCATCTGTCTTGTTTCATGGCGTAAATGTTTAATATGAGACATAAGAGCAGACTGAGAATGCTGCTGCTCTAGTTAATATCCTGAGTGAGTGACAGCTGTCAATCACATGAGCGTCAGGAAAGAGTCGAATCTTTGAATCTGACTCACACGAATGAAGCCCAGAGGTCTGTGATGATGATGATGATGATGATGTCGAGCATCAGAGTAAATGTCATGTTTACACGAGGCCTCGATGGACATGAGCTCATCTTCATCATCATCATCATCATCATACTCGGCGCTTATAACGCTCGGTACGCACCTCTTTGAGTTCCTTCGCCACGTCCTTCAGGTCTCCCAAGATGTTCTCGAGATCCTTCACGATGCACCTGATCTGTCGCTTGACCTGGACTTTATTGACGCCTCCGTCCTCCGCCGCCGCCGCCGCCGCGCTAACGGACATCCTCCGCAGCGGAGCGCGTCACGGCTGTGCGGCGCGTCTGCTCATGAAGATCACGCATGTCTCGAGCTGCGCGACGCGTCCACACGCGCATGCGCGCTGATGCTGGAGCCCTCATGGATCCTGAATGATACAGAAATCATATCAGAAATCATATCAGCAGTAGCTGATTACATGTACGAAATCAGTAACAAATTACAATTTGTAAGTCAACTAATCTAAAATGATTTAAGTTTTCTTAAAGGGGTCATGACATGGATTTTTCATTATTTTAAAATGTTCCTTGAGGTTTGCTTATGTTAATAAAGCTTTTTGCACAAAAAACAAAAAACTAATTTTCGACCCTCATTCTGACCCTCTGTATAAAACGCAATCAGCTTGTAACACTCCAAAGAGAAAGGAAAACTTGAAATCGCAGCATATGACCCCTTTAAGGGGCGTGTCCTTTAAGGCTTCTCAGTAATCAGCCACTGTTATGATTTGCATACCGTCAATGCATAGGAAACAGTGGGCGGGGCCTATAGTGAGAAGAAGACAATGTAACCCCTTTAAGGGAACATTCCATTTGATCATTTTGCAAACATTATGGGAATGTTGCTTTTGAATGTTCTCTGAACGTTCTGAAACAAGAAGTAACGTTTACGTTAGATGAACCAACTAAAATCTTCAGAGAAATGTTCCATGAACCATGTATAATTACCATTTTTGTGCTAACGTTTTCAGAACATGATTAAAGACCAGATTATTATGATGCATTTTTTCCTTTTTTTGTAATATATCACATGCAAAATGTCTTTATTATCTGATAGATGTCAGTAAAACAGGTGGCGAACAAAATTACACTCGTTTCTGTGAGAACACACGATTCTTTGGCAGCCAATCAGAAACGCTCTTTGCCTGTCAGTCATCTTGGGTGCAGGGGTTTCTGACATCGGGTTGGCTGAGGTCGATTTAGAGGGCGGGGCTTTAAAAGAGAAAAGGTGTTTACTCCCGCAACTTGCATCTAACAAAGAATTATAAAATAAAAGAATAATATAAGTTAGTTTCTATCAAAGCGCTATACAATATGACTATCAGCTATATGCTTTTGTAGGTTATATGCAAATAATACATTCAAATTTATGTAAATATTCCTCACATCACTCAGAGCCGATTTCACAATTTTACACATTAACACTCTCACTGACACTGTAAAACAGCAGCTCAAACATCAGCTGTGACACTGTTTATATTCAGCATTATTCATCACTATAAATATAACGCGCTTACAAATAAGAGTCACGTGCCGCCTGGTGGAGTGAAGACGCGCGGATCTGATTGGTCGCTGCTCGGTGACGTCACCGCGCCATTCGCGGAAGTGGGGCAAAAGTCACGGCGGATCACGCAGACTTTCACAGCAAAAAACATATCACCTCAATCATCGTAAACACAAAAAACATACATCATCTGAAGATGTCAGCGCCTTTGAGTTTCGACGGCAGAGTCGTGCTGGTGACCGGAGCCGGAGGAGGTCAGTTTATCATCGTAAACTCACGCATTTATGCACATAATGCAAATATGTTAATCCATTAATAGAGGGATATAATGAGTGTTGCAGAAGTTTCATGCGTTAATGCATCAGACAGACGCTTTCTGAGCATCAAACAGAGAATCTTCTGTATTATTTACATTTTGTTGTGCAAGTTACGGCTGACGCATTAATATAGATGTTTTATATTTATCAACGTGCGTTATTTTGCTCTGAATATTGAGCTTAAAGGCCTTTTTTAAGTACTTAAGCGTGTTGTTTGGCAGTGATGCAGCGTTTCTGTGTCGATCAAAGTTCAAACAGCAGATAAGAGTCAATGACTCTTTGCTCATGATGGTGGGATTCAGTTTAGATAAGGCTGGCATCCATAAATCACTCAGATAATGATGATAATCATGTTAATCGTGTGTGTTTCGCAGGTTTGGGGAGGGAATATGCGCTGGCGTTCGGTCAGAGAGGAGCCGCTGTCATCGGTGAGTCGCTCTGATCGGATCATTGATTCAGTTCAAGTGAGTCGCGACTCACGATTCGCTCTCTGTTCTTCACAGTCAATGATCTGGGAGGAGATATTAAAGGAGGTGGCAGGAGCTCAGCAGCCGCTGATAAAGTGGTGGAGGAGATCAGAGCTAAAGGAGGCAAAGCCGTGGCCAATTACGGTCGGTGATGAATCATTCCAGCTCTGAAGCGCAGTAACATACCTGTGATTCACATGTGTGTTCATGATGATCTGGTTTCTTCACCTCACAGATTCAGTGGAAGATGGTGAGAAGCTCATCCAGACGGCGCTGGACGCATTTGGCCGAATAGGTGCCGTTTCCAGACCTGCAATATGATTTAATATATTTATTTGTGCATCATCTCCATTATTTCTATGGAGTGCATTAGAGCCTGTCCACCTTGTCAGTGGTCTTGGTTCCCGGAAACTATTTTTTCCATTCATTTTTAAAATTTTTTAAAAGTCTTAGCATTAAAAAAAGCCATGAAACACACCAACCTGCTAAAAGGAGAATCGCAACATTACAAACTTGGTTAACACTTTACTTACATATAATGCATTATAAAAATAGTTTTAAAAAATAGCCTTTATATATAATGCATTATAAAAATCTTTTAATGCATTAATTACTCCTTGTAATGCACCTTATAATGCATTTTATGATCTGATGAATAATTGTAACCATAGTTATAATACTGATCTATCCGTTATTACACCTTTAGAAAGTATAATGCATTAAAACACAAGACAATGTAAGATAATGCACAATTATGAAAAGATATAATGCATTACAGCGTACATTATGCACACCTTAATAATGCATTATACATAAAAGGTTTTAGGTGAAACTTTACCCAAACACTGATTCAAAGTAAAAAAGCATTTGAAAGTTGTACTAAAACACAAAGACACATGACTGTGTACTTGACAGCTTTGGAAAGAACTACATTCCTAAGATGCATTGCGAATGACAATCAAATGAATGGCAAAACATAAAACCATTGTTGATTGTATCTGTAGAAACAACATGTTTTACGTTTATTGTAAAATATGCACATATATATATATATATAGCATTATACAGAAAGGCTTTACGTGAAGTGTTACCAAAACTTTGATTCGTAGCCAAAAAGTATGTGAAAATTGATGGCTTGGAAAAGAACTACAATCCCATGATGCACTGCGAATGACAATCAAATTGAAAATGATGGTAAAATATGAAACCATTCATTTGAAGTTGCTGATTGTATCAACATATTTATTGCATAATATGCATATAATATGCGTGACTCTCTGATTGGTGGAATTTTCTGTGCAGCATCATGGGTAATTTATTTTCAATATGATTATTTTAAAAATACATTTAATAATGAGAACAGATTTCACTGTGGAGAAAATGAATGGAGTTTTTGCTTCCGGATCGACTGTTGCGCTCTACACTTTTACATTTTAGTGCAAATCAAATACTAGACGTGCAGAAGGAATTTCAGAGTAAATGATACTTTAAATAAATGCATTGATGTCTGACAGTGATTCATTCTGCTGCTGTTTTTTCTGAGTGCTCATGAGCAGTTTGTGTTGTTTTCAGATATTGTGGTGAATAACGCCGGGTAAGTGGATGCTTGTGATCAGTGTTGGGGAAAGTTACTTTTAAAAGTAATGCATTACAATGTTGCGTTACTCCATAAAAAAGTAACCAATTCCGTTACTTTTTACGGAAAGTAATGCGTTACGTTACTTTTGCGTTACTTGAGCTGTCGATCAATAAATTGGAAAAAAAAGTAACTTGCGTTACTTATTTGAAAAAGTAACTCCGATATTCTCGTAAATTAAAAAGTAATGCGTTACTTTACTAGTTACTTTTAAAAAGTAATCTGATTACTTAACTCGCGTTACTTGTACTGCGTTACCCACAACACTGGTTGTGATCAAGTTACGTAACCAGATTACTTTTTTAAAGTGACTAGTAAAGTAACGCATTACTTTTTAGTTTAGAGAGAAAAATCCGAGTTACTTTGTTTCCATGTATTGACTGACTCTCGTGTTGCCATGGTGACAGAAATCAGGAGTAGGGTTGCAAAAAGGTGGAAAATTTCCAGTAAATTTCAGAAACATTCCAGGATTTTTGGAATCTTCTGGGAATTTTGCGTGAACATGATCTTACTGTAGTTCTAGAATAAATATGAACATGTGTTTACTCATCTCACCTGCACAAAAACACATTCAGTGTTCCTCAAAACGAATAAAAACAGTCAAATGCAAACTCAGAATATTATACAAACCCGCAATAAGACAAATATAATTAATGTATTTAATCCCATTTTATTAACTAATGTCTTCTCTACTGACCTTCGATGATCCACTTCAACCATACTAAGCAAAAATAAAACAATTTTAATGGAGTAACGCAACATTGTAATGCATTACTTTTAAAAGTAGACTGATTGTGTTGGGTGACTGTGTAATTCTCCTCTGCTGTTTTCTGAAGGATTCTGCGGGACCGATCATTCGCTAGGACCAGCGATGCAGACTGGGGTACGTATCGACATAATCAACTAATGGCAAAGAAGATCAGGGCTAAACATTTAGGAGTCCGAGATTTTTTACGATTTTCTCCTAAATCGGTGAGTTTTGAGCTACTTGAGGATGTTTTGTGAATGCGGGCCCTGATCTCACGGCGCTGTGTTTCAGACCTGATTCAGCGCGTGCACCTGAGGGGCTCCTTCCTCGTCACGAGGGCCGCCTGGAACCACATGAAGAACCAGAAGTTTGGGAGGTTAGTGCAGGTCTGTAAAAGCCATCTGTGGTGTTCTCCAGCCGAGCGTCACGGCTCTCGACTCTGTTCTCAGGATCATCATGACGTCGTCCGCGGCGGGAATCTACGGGAACTTCGGCCAGGCCAACTACAGCGCGGCCAAGCTAGGTCTGCTGGGTCTCTCCAACACGCTGGCCATCGAAGGCCAGAAGTACAGCATCCACTGCAACACCATCGCTCCGACCGCAGGATCCCGCCTCACCGAGACCGTCATGCCTCCAGGTCAGAGAGCTTACACCTCCACCTTTCTGAGAGTCAGACACTACAACACAAATATCCTTCCCACAATCTGAAGCATTGAATTGTTCATATTTGTCTCTCGGAGAGGATGAGATGGCAGTCAAACCAGCTGCAAAATACATACACACCATACGACATGGTTAATTCATTTGTGTCCCTGGAGTCTTAAGTCGCTGGGGTATATTTGTAGCAATAGCCAACAATACATTGTATGGGTCAAAATTATACATTTTTCTTTTATGCCAAAAATCATTAGGATATTAAGTAAAGATCATGTTCCATGAAGATATTTAGTAAATTTCCTACCGTAAATATATCAAAACTTAATTTTTGATTAGTAATATGCATTGCTAAGAACTTCATTTGGACAACTTTAAAGATGATTTTCTCAATATTTAGATTTTTTTGCACCCTCAGATTCCAGCTTTTAAAATATTGTCCTATCCTAACAAACCATACATCAATGGAAAGCTTATTTATTCAGCTTTCAGATGATGCATACATCTCAATTTAAAAAAACTGACCCTTATTTTTGTGGTCCAAGGTCACATTTGCTTTATTTGACATATTCGTCATTGTATACAATTGTAATTATTATAATTAATATTAGAAATACTGTCTGCTGTTGTTATTTTTATTTTATTGTATTTATTTTCTCTCATTTATAGTCTCCTTTATTACTTTGTGGTGTAATTATATTCTGTATTTTTACACATCTAAAATGCTTTGGCAACACTGTAACACAAACATGAGCCTGGAGCACAAAACCAGTCATAAGTGTCAATTTTTCAATATTTGGCTGAGATACAACTATTTGTAAATCTGGAATCTGAGGGTGCCAAAAAAATCTAAATATTGAGAAAATCATCTTTAAAGTTGTTCAAATTAAGTTCTTAGCAGTGCATATTACTAATCAAAAATTAAGTTTTGATATATTTACGGTAGAAAATTAACATGGAACATGATCTTTACTTAATATCCTAATGATTTTTGGCATAAAAGAGAAATGTATAATTTTGACCCATACAATGTATTGTTGGCTATTGCTACAAATATACCCCAGCGACTTAACACTGCTTTTGTGCTCCAGGGTCACATATGTGTTACAGTGTTGCCAAAGCATTTTAGCACATATTCTGCAGCTGGTTTGACTGACATCTCATGCTCTCCGAGTATATAGCATAGAGCCATTTAGAGACAAATATGAACAATTCAATGCTTCAAACTGTGGGAAGAATATTTGTCTTGTAGTGGTGTATTTGGAGCAGACAAGAAGAAAGTGTTTTTTTTTATCCTCTGTTTGATTTAAGTCACAGTGTTTGCATATTCGCTGTTCTCTCGGCATCCAGGATTTTTAATGTCTTCCTTTCTCTATTTCTAAGTCGTGGTCGCCGAGTCGATATTTGGAAAGGATTTGTCTTTCTTTTAATGATTTGACTGATAAGTAATTTGCCAATTTGGTGGTTGTGTTTAGGGCCGAATAACACTGGAGTTTGGTTTGGAGGTCAAATTCGTTTTTTTAAATTTATCATAATTTGTGTCAATTTCTTGATTATTATTCCGTTTCTCTGTCTCAGATCTGGTGCAGTCGCTGAGGGCCGAGTACGTGGCTCCGCTGGTGCTGTGGCTGTGTCATGAAGCGTGTCAGGAGAACGGAGGGCTGTTCGAGGTGTGCAGAGGCGCGCTCCTGTCGCTCAAACACTAGAGAAATGCAAGGCTCATGGGTTTGATTTCAAGGGAATGCATGGACTGAATGAACGTATACTGTACCTTGAGTGCATTAACTGCAGTTTAGATAAAAGCATCTGATCAGTGCATGCGTGTAAACGTGTTTATTCTGAAACTCATCAGCTGCTGTTTGTGTTTTAGGTCGGCGCCGGATGGATCGGCAAATGTAAGTTCTGCTGAACCTGATGATCTCTGTGGGAGAAGATCCGCATCAGCAATAGAAATAGATCCATTACTCACTCTTATGCACACAATTTATATACATACATATATATATACATATACACACACACACAATCCTTGAAATGTCATTTTGATGGATAAAACAAGACATCTGAGTGAGGATTTGGGAAGAGAGTCAGATATTGATCTGTAAATCAAGTCGAGTCGCGTTCATTCATCAAAAACATCCAAAGCAGCTTTAGGAAACTCGTGATGCTTATAGTGTTTATAATACTTAAATGCTTATTTCTCCACATATGGCAGTTAAGAGCTGGATGATAGTTTACATATGACCACTGGGTTTCACAGCAAATGTTAAAATAAACCAGAAAGCCTGATGAGACTCCTACAGCGCTTTATACAAGCAGCTTCACAGTAATAAACACTGTTGCTAACTTCATCAGTTATGAGATGACTTGTCAAGCAGAAATTTCACAAGATAATAGTGTCATTGTTCAGCAACAGTGGTAATATCGTAACAGTCATCAAATATGAAACAATTTAGTTTCTGCTGTAAAGCAGCTCTACAGAAAACAATGGAGTCATTATTCAGATCAAATCAGTTCAGTGTGTTCACCAGTTATTACTGTAACTGGGTATTTTTACTGTATTACTGTGTTCACCTCTGAATGGGTTTCAGTCTTCATGTGATTTCTGTGATCTGATCACTCAATGTGCAGGTTAAGACGTGACCCTGGAGCACAAAACCAGTCATAAGGGTCCATTTTTTAAAATTGAGATTTATGCATCATCTGAAAGCTGAATAAATAATATTTCCATTGATGTATGGTTTGTTAGGATAGAACAATATTTGGCTGAGATACAACTATTTGAAAATCTGGAATCTGAGAGAGCAAAAAAATCTAAATATTGAGAAAATCATCTTTAAAGTTGTCCAAATGAAGTTCTTAGCAATGCATATTACTAATCAAAAATTAAGTTTTGATATATTTACGGTAGGAAATTTACAAGATATCTTTATGGAACATGATTTTTACTTAATATCCTAATGATTTTTGGCATGAAAGAGAAATGTATAATTTTGATCCATACAATGTATTGTTGGCTATTGCTACAAATATACCTGTGCTGCTTATGACTGCTTTTGTGCTCATGTAGTGTGTCTGCTGTGGTGCAGTGCGCTGGGAGAGGAGTCTGGGCCGAACCGTGCGGCAGAAGAACAAGAGCATGACGCCGGAGGCTGTGCGAGACGCTTGGAACGAGATCTGTGACTTCACTGATGCCAGCAAACCCGCCAGCATCCAGGGTAAACCTCACTCACTCTATTACAGCTCGTTAGCAGACCAAAGAACATCCAGAGCGCTTCAGCCTCGTTAGTGCACATCAGAGCTAATTAACTTACTCACTGTGTTGATGAAGAGTCGCTGCAGACGCTGGTGGAGGTTCTGTCCAGAGTGGAAGATGAACCTGGAATCAGAGCCAATCCGACCGGAGCGACCGCCGGCACAAACCCTGTGAGAACATCATCAACACACCGAAGAACACCGTGTTCTTCCTCACTATTACTGTCATTGTCTCGTTTTCCTTCGGAACATCCTTAAATCACAGGAGATGCAAAATGTGTTCACCGTCAATCCATACCAGATCAGGATGAGTTTGTTTCTTCATCAGGTTTGGAGAAATGTAGCATTGCATCAGTGTCTCACTGCAAGTGAATGGGTGCCGTCAGAATGAGAGTCCAAACAGCTGATAAAAACATCACAATAATCCACAGCACTCCAGTCCATCAGTGAACATCTGGAGAAGACAAAAGCTGAAACAAATCCAGCATTAAGACGCTTTTAACTCAAATACCATAGAGTCCATAATAACGTGAGAAAGTGTTCTGGTATGAATCAGGAGAGAAATCTGCACAGATCAAGCACCGTTTACAAG